AGACCGCTACCTGAAGCTCTGCCCGAGACCAGACCGGAGCCTCGCCTGAGACCTGATCGAGGACCTCAGCCTGAGAGCCAGAGACTGACGGGAGCCTGCCACGACCAGACGTGATCAGAACCTGCAAGAGACAGCTCCTCAGCTGGGAGAGTGCACCGATCATGGTGGACTAGAGAACCTCTCCACACGGAGTGCCTGAAGGCTTAACCTCTGGAAGGTACTCCAAGAGACTTTGGGACTCTTAACTGCTAGAGGACCGGGTTTCCCTTTGAGTGTTTGTATTGATGTGTGTTTGTTATGCTTTGACCTAGTAAACGCATAATGCAATCAAACAGTCGTGTGTGAGAATCTCTTCTGTCTGTTGTGCCTGTCCTAAGCTCTCCCGAGAAGCAGTGACACATTTTGGATGTCACACTCAAGCCAGTGGCTTGAGACACATTCAGGACAGTTACTATCAAGTGACTGCTCCCATTCAGGACACTACTTTATTTTTTGAGAGAGGGTCTCACTATGCAGCCCTGGCTAGTCTGGAACTCACTATGTAGACCAGGCTCTCAACTTACAGAGATCTGCCTGTTTCTGCCTTCCAAGTGCTGTGATGAAAGGCGTTGCCAACATACTTGGCTATGGCCATCAAATGCTCTTTTTATTTTATTTTTTGAGAAAAGGATGTCTCACTGTATAGCACTGACTGGCCTCAAGTGCACTATGTAGACCAGACTGGCCTTGACCTCACAGAGATCCACCTGCTTCTGTCTCCTGAGTGCTGATATTAAAGGCATGTACCACCATGCCTGGCTCTTTCTTTTTAATTTAATTTAATTTAATATATATATTTAGAGACAGGATCTCATGTAGCCCAGGCTGGCTTCAAACTTGCTATGTTACTGAGGGAGACCTTGAACTTCTGCAATTCCTGCCTCCACCTCCCGAGTGCTGGGTTTATAGGTACGTGCCACCATATCTGACTTTCTATGTAGTGCTGAGAATCAAACAGGGCTTCATACATGCTAGGCACGCACTCTACCAGCTGAGCTACATCCTCAGTCTGGAATGTTCTTTCTTCCTCTCCTTCCCTTCCTTACATTCTCTGGGCTAAGCTGGCACCACTGCTCTCTTGGATTGATTCCTATCATTGATGGTATCACATTGACTTGTAAATGTGTTACTTTCTCATCTGTCTTATCTACCAGAACTTGAAATCCTTGGGGATTGGAAAGGAGTGTCTGTTTGTCTGACACTCACTGAATAGATTATGCAAGAAAAAAGGAAGTATTGGGAAAATGCAAGCTTCAAAGGCAGAAGACAAAAAGGGCCAGCTGTGGGAGGATGGGGAGGTGCAGGTGGCAGCAACAGGAACTCCCAGTGGGTTCCATGAAAAGGAAGGAAGGCCCTGAGGGTAAAGAGTGGACAATGAGTGACAGACCTCCAAAGTCATTGTTATGAAACTGAAACCTACGTACACAGACAATGCATTGCATTTAACGTCATGGTCCACAGTAATCAGTGAAAACAGTGCCTCCTAAACCCAGAGATGGTGAAAAAACTCATCCAAAGAGGAAGAAGGTGAAGAAGAGGAGATGCCCAGTGGCCAAGGCAACAGCTATCCACTCCATTGGGTCTTGCTCCTTATCTTGGGAGCAAGATCCCCAGGATCTAATAGCACAACATAAAGTAGGCTCTCCTGTTAAATGCTTTCAGAATGAATAAAGTCAGGGACAGCACACATATTGTTAACAACAAATATAAAGAGAGGCAGTTTGTGTGCAACACAGAGGGCCAGGCCTCTGGTCTCAGTGGGCTGCTCAGGTCAGGCACCTGCAGCTAGGGCTGCCAGGTCCACAAGGACGTCCTATTCTATCTGGAGCCGCTAGCCTTCCTGTCTTCCTCAGTTGAAGACTTCTGCTATTCCATGGGGCCAGAAGTCAGTACAGTGTGTGTGTGGGGCAGCATGGTTCCACAGAGGCAGAATGGAAGTTCTTGGCCACACAAGACAAGTGCATCTGGATGCCACACATCTCACAGCTCTGACCCTGAATGAGCAGGCTGTGGCAGATGTTGCATTTCTTCACGGTGTCAGGATAGGTCTCTCGGATGATCTGCCCCATCTCCAGGATGGCCCGGCCATGTAGGGTGAACTTCCTTTCCTTGCTCCGCAGGAATTTCTGCAATGCCTGTTCTACCTCCTTCTTCCTCATCTTTTTGCCTTTGAGTTGATGAACCAGGTTCAAAATGTTTGTGGAAGAGGCAAATCCAGTTTTGGAGTCAATAATCAGTTCCAGAGCCTTTCTAAACAGATGCTGCTCATTCTCTGCAAAATCTGCGTCCATTTTGGACACTGAAGTTGTAGCAAGATTCATCAGGGCATAAATGGGTCTCCCGTCATCATCTGTGATTCTTTTCTTTATCTCAATATACAAAGACTCCAAGACACTGTTGATATTGTTGATGGAGTCCTCCAACTTATCTGCAGCACATTGTGGTCATGGACCTTGCAGCAGTGGTTCTGCAAGCCCTGACCTCCCACTCCTCCAGCATGCTGCGTGTCATCAGCAGCTGGAGGAACCAGTGACATCTGTCATAATTCCCACTTTTCCTGCACTGCCCTGCATGTTGGAGGGGGCAGGACCCCAATAGCCAGCCCTAGGGTTTCACTCTTAATTACATTTTACCTCTGATGAAATTTCTGCCAATGAAAATGATCTGCCACTGGGGCAATAGTGGCATGACTGTTCTAGGGCTAATCAACAGATTTCTGGTTGGATTTGAGGCCTGGTCTGCAGGAGAGAATACTTGCCTGGTTTGTGAACCTGGGCAGAAGCCTATGGCTAGGGAGACTACAGGCCCTAGTGGGGAATCTACTGATGTTTTGCTAAATGGACATGTAGTCAAACTGTCTTCTAAATATTTATTTTTACCCATTGTCTAGTGCTGCTCTCAGCCTTGGTCAGAGAAGCCTATTTTTGCAGCGGTTGATGGTTAAAGTAGAAACTCATAACTGGTCAAAATGTTGAGAATAAGTGACTATTAAATACCCAGTCTTACATGGGACATCTATATCCCCCCTGCCCCTAAGGCCCAGGGACCATCTCAGAAGAGGAGGTAGAAAGACTGTAAGAGCCTAAGGATGGGCAGGAGTGCCGTGAAACTGTCATTTGGATATGTCATGGCTCTTGCAGTCAAGCACACAGTAACTGTAACCACTGCACAAGATCTGCACACATGTGTGCACGCACACAATAATAGGAGTCAGAAGGAAGGGGGGTCAAGAGAGTAATAGGGGGTGAATATGAAAAAAATTATTTGTGTTTGTCAGATGGAGAGACCAGAGACAGGCTTTACACTCACATTTGTAATTCCAGCATTTAGGAAGCTGAGGCAGGAGGATTGCTGTTAAGTCCAAGGCCAGGCTGAGTACAGAGTGAGGCCGTTTCCAAAACGGAAAAGAAAGGGCTGGAAATGTAGCTCAGTTGGTAGACTGCTTGCCTAGCATGAATGAAACCCTGGGTTTGATCCTCAGCACCCTAAAAACTGGACCATTCCATCACGTGGGAAAGATCAAAAGTTCAAGGTCCTCAGTTACATATGGAGTTTAAGGCCAGTCTAGACTACATGAGACCCTATCTCAAAACAAAAAAGGAGGCTGGAGTTACAACTTAGTGATAGCATGCTTGCCTTTCACACAAGGCCTGATAACCATCCCCAGCATTACAAAATAAAATAAAAAAATAAAAGTGTAGCCCGGTGTGGTGGCACACTCCTTTAATCCCAGCACTTGGGAGGCAGAGGCAGGCGGATCTCTGTGAGTTCAGGGCCAGCCTGGTCTACATAGTGAGTTCCAGGACAGCTGGGGCTACAGGGAGACCCTGTCTCAAAAAGACCAAAAAATAAATAAATAAAAATAAAAGTGTGAAAAAAAACACAAAAAAAGAAAAACTGAGAGAAAATGCGTGAAGTTCATGACATTATTTTATTACGTATTTTGTAGTACTGCATGTAGTATGTGGTGTATTGTGTATTTTTTCCTTACAACTGCATGTAAATTTTTAACTGTTTCAAAGTGTTTTCCCCTTCCTGTCCGGCTCCCAAACCGCTGGGATTACAGTGCCGCCACACACAGGTGAGAATTTTGGTTTATTTACTATTTATTTCAGTACTGGGAAACAAACCCAGACCTCTTACTGAGCTATATCTAAATTTCGTTTTTCCTGAGAGGGCTCATTCCGTAGCTCAGGCTGGCCTGGAACTGCTGACTTTGCAGGGGTGTGCCACGACCTGGGGACTCTGGCAGGGCTGATTCCCAGGAGGGGTATGAGGAAAGGTTCCACGGCCCCGGGCTACCTCTCTCTGATTGGAGTAGCCGCCCCCACACGGTGATTAGCAGTCTCGGGAGGCGCTCGATAGGTTATAGGTCGTCTCCGAGGCTTACGGTACCCGGCTGGAGGCCCGATAGGGTCGTGGAAGCAGTGGGTGTTCTCCGCCTGTCGCGGAGCAGGGCTGCACTTTGCAGAGGCGTGCGCGTCGCCCCGCGGTGGGTTCGGGTTTCACCCTCCCGGGACCCGGAGCCGAGCTGCGCGCGGAGGAGTGTTTGGCTAGAGCGGCGGGCGAGGCGGGAGGCGGCGATCCCGGCTGGGCCGAGACTTCCTTCCTCCCCGGCGGGCACCGAGCTCCGGCCGCCCGCGGCGTGCGAGCTGCGCTGCCATGGGCTCCCTGCTGAGCAGCGACGGCGCCAAGTCCGCGCAGGTCGCCGCCACCCCGCGGACCCTGGAGCGCAGCGCGGACCCCGAGCTGCCGGTCACCTCCTTCGACTGCTCCGTGTGCCTGGAGGTGCTGCACCAGCCGGTGCGGACCCGCTGCGGCCATGTGTGAGTGTGCGGGGCTCCCGTGGCGCGCCCACCACCTCGCGGGGTAGGGCGGCTGGGGAAGTGCAGGGCACCGGGTGGGTGCAGGAGCGGCGAGCCCATGGGAAACCGGTGCAGCGGAACCTGCTCCAAGACCGGTCCGAAAACACAAGTGTGTTGGGGGGGCTGTGGGGGTGCGGGTGTGGGTGTGGGTGTGGGGGGTGGAGTTTGCAAACGACTCCCCTCAGCCCCGTTTGCGGGCTGGTAGGGCAGGGGGCTCCCGCCACGCACACTGGTCTCCCTGATTTTAATCCATCCGACTGTGCTCCCTCTCCCCTGAGAACCGGGGTGGTTTTGTTTTGCTGCACCTGTGCACGTGTTCCGGAACTCGAGCTACAGGCCATGGGTGCAAACGGTCCATTCCCACTCTGCGTCCCTTTCCCAAAACGTCCTGGCCCACGGGTGTGAGTGGCGCTCTGCAGTCCCTAGTTTAACAATCGGTTAGGGTGGGGCTTGGAGTTTGGACGGGCCAGCCAGTAAATGCAGGCGTTTAAAAAACTCAGCTACAAAGTACTGGGAGGTTTTCCCTAAATCACCGCTCCACAAACCGAAAGTATAGTTTAAAACAACTTTCTTTAAAATCTCGTGCTGTGTAATAAAACCGCGCTGTCATCACTCTTACTGCAAAGCACTGGTTTTACGAAGGATTCAGAATCAAAGTCCCTTATGAAATCGGTATGACTTTAGGGTGTGTTTTAGTAAGTAGAGGTGGGCTTCGGATGTGTGAAGTCAGAAGGTCTTTTTTCGTGGTCACATTGGTGTGAGTTGGGCGTGTGCATGCACAGACCCCAGCTAAGGCCCAGGAGATGTCATCTCTGTTTCGTGGTCTGATATAGAACCAGAGCAAACCCACAGTTGATGACTTATCAAGAGACAAATCACTTACTATAAATGCATATGCACAAAGCTGGTTTGTTGGTGTTCGATTTTTGAGACTGGGTCACCCTGTAGCCCCAGCTGGCCTAGAGCTCTCAGTCAAGAATAGACTGATTTTGATCTCACAGAAGTCAGCCTGCCTCTGCCTCTGTGAGCACTGGCTGGGATTAAAGGCCTGGGGTACCACACCCAGTGAAAGCTGTTTTCAAAAGCAGTTAGGTGAGCCAGGCCTGTTAGCTCTCATCTTTAATCCCAGCACTGGAGTTAGAGACAGGTGAATCTCTGCATTTGTGGCCAGCCTGGTCTACATAGGGAGTTCCAGTCCAGTGAGGTCTATGCTGTGAGACCTCTCTTTTCTTTAAAAAAAAAAAAATGCACTTAAGTGATGCTGGACTCCTGGTGTACACAGGAAGCAGTTTTTCCCAGTGCCCAGCAGTGAGCCAGAGAGAATGCTGAGCTGCCCACAGTGTTCCAATCAAGAGAGATCTTGGGTTATTTGATTATAGTCTTGGACTGTTTCTTTCAACTTTGTACTTTAAACTCTAACCTTACACCTTGCACTTTGTACGTCTTTTCTAGTTAGTGATGTTTCCCAGCTTTGACATACCATCCAAGGGCCAGGGTGCCGGTCTGGGATACAAGCACTACTTACTGTGCGGTGGGTAAACTACATTGATTAGTTCAGGGAAACAGTAGTCTAAAGAGAATCACACTTAAGGGGTTAATTTTTTTTTTTTTTTTTTTTTTTTTTTTTTTTTTTTTTTTTTTTTTAAAAAAAATTTGTTTTGTTTTTTGAGTCTGGGTCTCATGTAGCTTAGGCTGATTCAAACTCATTATGGGGATGATCTTGAACTTCTTCTGGTCCTCTGGTCTCTATCTCATGAGTGCTAGAATTACAGACCTGTATCACCAAGCCCAGTTTATGAGGGACTCAAATCCAGGGTTCTATACATGCTAAGCAAGCACTCTACCAGCCAGTGTGAATGGAATTTGTGATCATAACAGTCACTAGGCAAGTGCTTTATCACTGAGCTATATCTGCAATATTTTGAGCTTAACCTTTATTAACATTAAAGCTTTAGAGTTGAGTCAAAGATGAATGATGAGTCTTAAATCAATTCTTTCCTATAGAACTGGAAGGGCAGCTTTGCTATAGAGTCATCTGAGTGGCGATTGTTTTCTGGGTTTGGATTTTAAACATTATAATTTGTTGTTTACAAATCTCTAACTTCTAAAGGATTCATTTGCAAAATGTTGCACTTATTTTTGTTTAATCTTTTTTCTTTGTTTGAATGAATAGGAAACTGGACAGTCATAAAATGGCATAACCAGAACTGGACAGACTGTCTCCTTTCCCTTAGCTGTTCTTTGTTTTGACAAATCTATGTCTATTGTTCTGTCTGGGCAGAATTTCCATACTCCTTTTGGCCAACTTGGGCCCCTTCCATTTAACAAATGTTAACCAGAGTCCCTTTTGCACTGAAGACTGTGAGCACTGTTAAAACCAATTGTACATCCTAAATGAATTACTCTTTTCCATTGAACTTAAGTAGGAAAATGAAAAAAATTGCAAGTGAAGTCTCTCAGTTTTCATGATCCCCTATCGAGATCAGATTATAAACTGTACTGTTTATGCTGATTTTAGTTTATAAATGTATTGCAAGTCAAACAAGCATAATAATACCAGTTCCCTGGATGGATGTATAGATGATTCTTTATAAGTCTGATTGTGACACAGTGGCACCAGAGCATCATAGAAAGCTGTTTGAAATTCAACCCAGCCACTAGTCAACTTGTGACCAAGGCTTTAATCTCTTTGAATCTCAGTCTCTTCCTTTGTAAAATATGGTGAATAATGAGATGTCATGAACGTTTGAAATGGAAGAGAAGCCATTAAGAAAGACTGGGGCTGGGAATGCAGGACTCAGTAGTAGAGTGCTTACTTAGCATATGTCAAGTCCTGGAAAACTGATCACCAGCATCACACATACAAAGGGCTCAAACATAGTTTCTGTTTGCCTCAGTCATTTCATAAGCAAAGTGCCCATGAACAGGTATTATTGTCATCATCATCATCATCATCATTTTGGGACAAGGTCTTTAGGTTGGCTTGAAACTCTGTATGTAGTCAAAAATGACCTTCCATCTTACTCCTTGAATTTCTGATGCTCTCGCCTCCCTGTCTGCCAAGTGTTGAGATCACAGGTGTGTGCAACACCAACCAATTTAATGTGGTGCTAAGGATCAAACTTAGGGCCTTGTTCATGCTAGGTAAGCACTCTACCAACTGAACTAGATCCCCAGGCCTGTTTTCTTTTTTTTTTAATATATAAAAATTTTGGATTTTTAATTAATTTATTTGGGTTGGGGAAGGACAACTTGCAGGAAATGTTCCCTCCTTCCACCATGTGGGTCCATAGCATTGAATTTAGGTGGTCAGGCTTGCTGGTAGGCATCTTTACCCACTGAGCTGTCTTGCCAGTCTTTGTTTTGTTGTTGGAGACAGGGTCTCATGTACCACAAATTGGCCTTGAATTCACTGTGTAGGCAAGGATGACCTTCAACTTCTTCCAGCTCCCAAATGCTGTCATTACAGGGATGGTCTACCAAGACCAGCTTAATGTTTTATATGTATGAAACATTATATATATATATATATATATAAACATTGTGTGTGTGTGTGTGTGTGTGTGTGTGTGTGTGTCTATGTGTGCAGGCATGTGCCAAGGTAGTGTGGAAGTTGGGACAACTTGAAGGAGTCAGTTCTGTCCTTCTACCATGTGAATTGTGGGAATCAAACTCAACTTGACAGCAAGCACCTTTAACTTCTGAGCCACTTCTGGTCCAGTGTTTTATGTTTTAAATCAATATGAATATTCATTCATATTGATATACTCAGTTGTTAGGGGGAAAGGGCTTCTTAACATTGCCTTGTCTAATATTGTCAGAGAACTAGGGAAGAGAGGAAGTTAATGACTAGAATTAGAAATTAAACTAAGAAAGAGCCTGATTTCACAGTTAAGGAACAAAGGGCTGGGTATGTTGCTCAGTGACAGAACACTTGCCTCATTGTGCAAGACCATATGTTCAATGTTCAGCACCAAAACAAAAAATAAAATAAAATTTAAAAGATTAAAAATAAGCTGGGCGTGATGGTGTATGCCTTTAATTCCCAGCACTTGGGAGGCAGAGGCAGGTGGATCTCTGTGTATTCAAGGCCAGCCTGGTCTACATAGTAAGTTCCAGGCCAGCTGGGAGACCCTGTCTCAAAAAAAAAAAAAAAAGATTGAAAATAAAAGAAACAATTCTTTGAGTTATAGCTACAACCTGGCACAGTGGTATATGCCTTCAATCCCAGTACTCTGGAGGCAGAAGCAGGCGAATCTCTGAGTTCAAGGCCACCTTGGTCTACATAGCAAGTTTCAGGCCATCTTGAGCAACAGTGAAACCCTGTCTCAAAATAAACAAAAAAAGAAATGGTTCTTTGTGTGCTGTGGGCAAGCCTGCTAGTGTAGACCTGTAACCTCAGCCACCTGAGGGACTGAGGCAAGACAACTGAAAATTCAGAGTGAGTTAAAGCCCAGTCTGTCAACTAAGTGAAACCCTGTCTCAAAATAAGAAGAGGGGTGGGGAGATATAGCTCAGTGATATATCACTTATGTCACATGCATGAGGCAGTACCACACACTCACAAAAAAGAAGAAACAGCCAAACATTCCTTTTCAGACGGGATATGGTAGACTAGGGACAGAGATGTTAGGACAACTCCCAGGATTTAATGAACTCAAGAACCATCTTATTAAATGCCCAGCAATCTGATAAAGGAAAATTAAAGTGAAATACCTATTGCTGGGCCTGGTGGGGCTTACCTATGATCCCAGCACTTAAAAGGAAGAAGCCAGAGAAGTCAGCCTGGTTATCAGGTTTCAGGCTAGCTAGGCCTGCATAGTGAACTCTGTCCCCCCAACAACATTGAAAACAAATAAATAATCAAATACAAATATCCCAATGGTCTTGTGGAGTAGGTTTGGGAAAATAGCCGAAAGCTAAAAGTATTGCCTAAGAAATGGTCCAGAGGTTCTTGTTCTCT